AAACACAATCTGGATTGAAGGATAAGAATGAAACAGATGAATCTTTTGTATTTCTCCTCAGCACAAGGGGTTAGCAGACTCTCCTCGTGCATTACTGAGCCCAACACCAGAGGTTCAACAAGCCAACTCATCAGAAAGCGCGACCCCCTCCACATCAGCACTTTCTTTTATAGCCCACCACAACACACAGCAAAGTGCAGACCCTCCAACTGCCCCTCAGATGCCCTTAGCTGAAGTGGTGGGCCCCAGATAATCTGAGTCTAGACTACTTTTGACCTTGCTCAGAACCTCAGATTAAAGAGGTCGTGACTTTTACAAGTTTTTTACCACACACAAAACTTCTGGTAAACATCCTACATGAGAAGTCTGCAGATAAGATCATGAGTGGACACAGCGAGAGGCCATAACAGCCCTGTGTAAGGTCAGACACCAAGTCATTCATGTTGAAAATAACCTCAGGGCGAGAAAGAAGGAGGAGGAGAAAATGGGGAGGAAAGCTCTACATAGTTGCTCTGACCATGTCCAATGTTTCCAAGCTAGTGTGACTGTATCAAGTTCCTGCCAGAGGAGGAGATGGCTCCAGAGTAGAGGACTATGACCAAGACATCTGTCTCCAGTGTTATCAGAGGGAACATTGTTTGTGCTTAAGACTGCTGTCTAGCAGTCTGGAGCACTAGTGTTGATGAGCATGGTGAGGCAGACTGAGTCTGAGGGAAGGCACAGGAGAGATGTGCAGCCTCTCTGACTCAGCAGACGCTCGGGGTCGACGGTATAACAATTAGATCACACAGAGGACACAAGCTATTCCTCTACACTGATGAGAAATGGAGTTTCCATCTCTGCCGAGTGTTAGTGGTGAGTATGTTTACTCTGGACTGGTGAGGTAAATGTTCTGATGTGTTGTTTGGATATGAGATTAGTTTCAACCCCTGAAGGCCTCAGAGTAGTTAAGCCCAAAGAGTTTCAGCCCTGATCAGCTGTTATCCATGAGCTGGTAATATACTGGTGTACTTCCAATTGCTTCCCATGATGCACTTCTTCTTCACTCACCTCTTTTCACTCTCTGCAATGACTCATTAGTTATTATTAATCTCTGCCTCTCTTCCACAGTGGCTTTTGTCCCGTGTCCCTCCCCTCATCCCCATCCAGTCACAGCAGATGGCCCCGCCCCTCCCTGAGCCTGGCTCTGCTGGAGGTTTCTTCCTGTTAAAAAGGAGTTTTTCATTCCCACTGTCACCAAGTGCTTGCTCACTGGGGATCATCTGATAGTTGGGCTTTTCTCTGTATTATTGTAGGTGTAGGGTCTTTACCTTACAATATTAGTTCCCTTGACATGATGGTTGCTGTGATTTGGCATTATTTGAATACAACGTAACTGAACTGTAACTGACTTTTGAGGGGGAAAAAACCTCACTGAAAATATTTTTCCAAACTTGGAAGACTGACGGAAATAATTTTTAAAACAATATATAAGGGCAAATTTCAAGTTTAAGTATTTGTTGGTTTAGAAAAAACTGTGGGAGGACTCTTGAATACCCAAAGAGAACCCACACAGACACGCGGAGAATACGCTAACTTCACACAGAGATGGTGCTAACCACCGTGCCAACATGTTGCCCAATACCTACACTGACTTTCCTAAATCTTGCCGGCGGCATACACATTCTCTTGTCCTCTGGCACCTTCACTTCCTTCACCTTGCACCGCAGATGTCATAGCGCTGCGTGTGTGTGTTGTGTTTGGGTGCGCGCACCTGTTTGTGCTCAGGGAGCAGAGGTGTACGCAGTATGTAGAGCATCAACATGTAGCTTCTCTCCGAAGGCTGACTCATCCCTATATATCACGCAAACACACCCTCAGGTCTTGGCATCATTTCTTCTGTGTTTGCTTGTTTTCCTTTCCATCAGTCTGGCAGCAGAAGGTATCACGGAGGTGGAGCGGTCTTAAAAAAAGATGCATCACTGACAGGCTCACATGGTGAAGAAGTGAGGTAAATGCACAGGTGAGTCACAGGTAAACATGAAATGCTAACTTGTTATGACGTTTTTTTAAAGTCTGTTGGATTCTGTTGTTTCCCACAAGATGTGTAGCACTAGTCCACAACCTGTGGTCACTTATACTGTTTATTCTATGTTTATCTGTTTCATCCACAAACACTTCCTCAGAGTATTCAAACAAACAGAAAACTGACGCTAAACACACAAAACAGAATAGAAGTTGAAAATAAAAACCTACAGTAGGAATAGAAAAAAATCCACACAAATGGTAAATGGCCTGTATTTGTATACAGCTCATCCACACGCAGGTGGAGGCAGCTACAGTTGTAGCCACAGCTGTCCTGGGGCAGACTGACAGAAGCGAGGCTGCCATATCACGCCATCAGCCCATCACCAGTAGGCGGTAGGTGAAGTGTCCTGCCCAAGGACACAACGACCGAGACTGTCCGAGCCAGGGCTCGAACCGGCAACCTTACAAGGCGAACTTCCAACTCTTGAGCCACGATCGCCCAGACAAAAATCACACAAAGTGTTTTTGAGGAGACATTCATTTGAAGAACAGCAACAGAAGTGCCAGAAACCAAAACATGCAAAGAATTTCACAGCGACAAAGATGCAAATGTTGTGTGTTTTTATCGCATGCGTCATATAATACTGTAGATACATGTTTGGTATTAGTCGTTCATGGTTAGCTTGTCACTTCTGCAGCTGTTTCATCAAGTTGTCTCCCCAGAAACACTTGTGTTTTGTGAGATTTTTGCCCCTCAACTGTAAAAGACTGATAGGATATTGTCGTCACCCTGCAGTGTGGACACCCAAGTTTGTGAATGCGATAAATCGATAACGAGGCAATGTAATTAGATATTCTTACCATAGATGCATCTACTAAAAATCTTGGACTAGTACAGGTGCTAATACCATTGATATAATATCAATGGTATTAGCACCTGCTATTAGAAGGCTGCTAGTATTTTATGGGGGATTTTTTGTGAGTTTTGTTGTGTTTTTTTTGTTGTGTGCTTTTGTTACCATTGTCTGTCGACAACACAAAAGCTACTAAACTAAAATTTTATGAACACAGACAAAAACAGAACCCATAACAAGATAAAGCATTGACCTTAGCAGAAGATGTGCTGTCCCAGGCTTTGGAAAGTTGTAAATCTATTTCGATTATCGCTCTTTTGAACAGCACTTTTTTTTGCCTGTGTGGATAAGGAGTTTCTCTGATTTTGATTCTGTAACGGATCAGTGACAAGCTGTGGTACAGCTCTTGGTAGTCTCTTGAGGACCCAAACCAGTAGGTACCCTTGCAATGAGTTAAGCGAAGATCCACATTTGTGCCAGAAAGGGAGGAGGAAGAGACATGCCGTCATCGAGTGCTATCAGCCACACTCGTCTCTCACTGGTGACTCAAGGTTTTCCAGTGATTCACGTCTGCACAGAAGCTGAACGACAGGCTCAAAGTGTAGTGACTCTCCCCCTTTTTCTCACCACCTATATCCTCCTCTTCCTATTATTTCACTCTCCATTCATCTCTTTGTCCACATTCCCTTTCCTTCCTGTCTGCTAATTGTTGCTGCACCACACCATTTATTTCTCCACCAAGCCCACAGTAGTTCTCCCCAGGCCACCAATTTTCAGCAGCGTCTCGAGGCTCCTGTTGGGAGACCTCCAGGACGTTCAAAAAAACCAACCCTGAACACACCCAGCTGTACCTCCAGGCCGGTGCAGCCCAAAAGGGGATTTCACCTTGCTGATGACGGGGCACACTCTTCCTTCCTGGACCCATATAAATCTGTCGGTGGGCTTCGTCCTATGGTCTAACATTAAAGCTGTTTTCCATGACATGCTGCTCAGCAGGGGAGGGAAAGCTGTTATTGACTAATATAAGCCGGTCTAGGATGACTTGTGTTTACTATTCGCTGTTTCTGATTTCAAAGAAGATCAGCTGACCTCTCAGTGTTTGAACTGAAAGGTACAATATAAGAAGTGAATTCTTTTCAAGAGCCAATACATACAATTTTCAACCAGTATTGCCTGATTTTTATGTGCTTTTGTTGCTTCGCCATTCTTGCCTTCTACTCGTGTTTTTATTGTGCTGTAAGTAAATAACACAGTGAGTTCTCTCCTCCAAGAAGAATGGCAAGAATGGGCTTGTACGGACGTTTCTCATCTGAGTGAAGGACCTCTGTCATCTCACACTCTGAATGGCAGAGGCTACCAGCCTTAGGCTATAATCAAACACACTCCCACAGGCATGCATGCACACACTGATGCACACGCTTAATGCAAGCTTTGTGTTAGTGCAGTGTTGTAGTCCTGGGAATCATATGCATTTTCTGTTTTCTTATGAAAGGAGCCATAAAAAGAGTCATCTATCATTTTAAACATTTAATTTTCAAGCTTGGAAAAAGCAAAGGAAAAGCAGCGTCTTTACAACACAAACAGACTGTACTTTTTAAAGTCAGAGAATAAATACATAAGCATGTTGAATGTTGAAACCAGATCTTAGTCACATTTTCTTTCAGAGCGCTTTGTACTACTTGAAAGCTAGCATGCTGTATGCATAGTTACATAGCACTGTTTTTTATGCTAGTCTGTCTGTTTTTATTTCCGACACACCCATTTTTATTACCTTACATTTACTAATGCAACTCCAATAATTCATCCTTTGCAGAAGGCCGAAAAAGGGGACAATTTAGCACAGCAAAAATATAATTATGTGAATTGTCATCTGTAGATTGCAAAACATTCTTTAGAATTAACATTTTCAAATTCAACATCAAAACAAAATACCTAACATATGTAACATTCTGCAGTCTAGATTGCCATTGCTCCTTTATCTGTGTTCAGTTTGCAGGACTGTAGTTTGCTCTACAATCACAGCCTTCCTGTAAGTTTCAATAACAGCAACAGTAAGAGCACAAGGTTACTCCCTCAAACCCTTAAAAAGTCCATCAGGGTTCTTCAGTTTTCAGGACTTCACAGTACTCGTGAAGCTTGTTACAGTATATCAGAGCACAGGGGGAAGCTGCTCTCCGGCTCCTGCAGGTAGCTCACCTGCCATGGAAGTCCCAGAGTAGCAGATGGCTCTGCAAAGGTGTCCATGTATCCCTGAGTGCAGGAGGCCCACATCCCCGGCTGGTATCCCAACCCCTCATCCACCTGAGGGTATCTCAGAGGGCTGGGTGGAAGATCACAGGGGGTGCCACAGTGTCTGTGTGAGGCATAAAACTGTCCCTCGGTGGGATAACAAGGGTAGTGTGGTGATGGGGGACATGATGGCACTGTGTTGTCTACGTAGGCATGAGGTCTGTGCATGTGAGGCGCTGGCTGTGGCTGCATCTGTTGAGAGATGGATGCGTGCCAGGGGACGTAGCTCTGATGCTCCGGACAAGGAACTGTTAACCTGGTCTGCTCAAGCCGTGACGCCCCCATCGCTGCCGGTCCCACTGATGACCTGTTGCACTCACGGTGGGTGCAGGGCTTACTGGGTGGATGAGAGCTCAGGAAAACTGAGAGAGCAGAGATGCGGTTGATGGCTCGCTGCAGTGTGGCAATCTTGGACAGCCGTTTGCCACTGAGGTCATGGTTCAGGGCAACACGGAGGGCATTGAACGCCTGGTTGTAGTCCATAATGCGTTTTCGCTCGCGGACATTAGCGGCCATTCTTCGAGCTTTTGAGCGAACCGGTCGGTTGCGCTTCTTGGTTTGGCCTTCCTCTGCTTCGCTTGGGCTGCTGGTTGAACTCTCGTCTTGGAATGATGGCTTGGGACTTCCTTCATCTTCGCATTGGACCAGACCGCCAAGTTCAAGCTCTTCCTCAGAGAACTCGGAGCTCGCAACGCTGCTGCAGCTCATTGTGTCAGTAGTGCGCACACCAGATGAGACAACGTAAAATCTTCCTTCTTGTAGTGCAATTTCAGTGAAAATCCTAGATGTGGTTTGCACGAGGAGCTGTGAGTGCAGGGTTCCAGCACTCCGTCGCACGCTCGCTGATGTGCCTCGGCTTCTTTTGTGGGGCTGTCGGTGTTTGCTGCTGTGCCGACAGCCCGTGTATTCTCCTGCTCTGAGTCCCCTGGTGCTGTGTGATAACTTGTGCCTCAACAAGACAGGTTTACCTGCTTTTTAAAGATCTTGAGGTCACATGGTATACTCACCTGTAAAGAATGATGCACTCTCTCTCCCTCTTCAGGTTTATGGGCACCCTCAAGGCAAATGGCACTGACACGTCCTCCTCCTTCTACTCTGACTCTCCCTCACAGGAGAGTTTCAACACTTCATTGTAAAATAAAAGCAAAATGCTGCACTTTGGAAATGCCAGTTTGCTTCATACCACAGTTATTATAGTTTTCCATTTTCTGATTGTTTTTTATTTCCTTTTGTTTTCAAGGCAGTTTAGTTTAAGTTTTACAGTTTGAAACGTTTTAACTTTGTCTTAGTTTCTACCAGTTTCAGTATTACTTACACTTTTATGGAGCATATGTCAGATTTAGGAAAATTAGTCCAATAAAACTTTGTGAGAACAGTTGACTCACAGTCTTGTAGACATGCAGCGTCTCAATAAGCACATCTATCGATGCCTCATCAGACAAACTGTCATAAAATTTTACCGAACTAACAAATAATGAACTTACTGACAATAAATGGTCGCAAAATCATTTCAGTTGGTTAAAAATGTTTTCAAGAGTCTAGTTTTTATTTTTACTTTATTTAATTAGTTCAATGTCAACATCTTGGCTCATTTCATTCAGCTGTAATTCACTTTTCTTTAATCACAGGCCTTCGGTCACTCTGTCTTTCACCTTTACAAACAACAGCATGCTCAGTCTGATTGTTCCCCACAATGACTTCTTTCTCTGCCCTGTACAATATGTAATTTTACATTATTTACTAATGAAGGCATATTCATTATTCATTTAAATACATCTTCTATCAAATTAGTCCCACAGATCTTCATGACAAATTGCACATTTACCTGTTATATGCGCTTCCCCATGTGTCAAGCCTGGGAAGTAAGCAACCTTCTTATCTACCTTGGGTTAGATTCAAGCTTGCAATTAGCCGTCTCTGGAGTGGCGATTCTCCTTCTCTCTGTATCTCTCTGCTCAGGCTTAAGGGCCATGTAATTTAGAGTAGCTTCCCTGGAACTTGTCCTCATAAATCAGGCCTGGGCAGCACTGGAGGACAAGAGCAGAGCGAGCCTTAGACTTCAAAGACAGAGGGAAAAAAGGGGGCAAATATTTTACAATCAGAACCTGCAATTGGTGCCGGCTTAGGCTATCGATCTTTCAGTCTTTTGCAAGTGGAGATGGGGATCCATTTAAAGTCAGATGCAATGTTGTAATGCAGTTTAATATTAAATACGGAAATCTTACTGCAGTTTGCAAAATGATTATAATGTATGATTTATTGTTCGCGGTAATGGACAAAGACAGCGCTTTGTGTCTCGTTTCTCTTGTTTTTCTTTCCTGAGTATTTAAATAAAGAACATATATGCTTGTATGTTCAAAGGGGTGGATGTTCCCTCACTGCAAATTAATACAATACAGTTATTCACAGTTATGCTGTGATGAAACTATCATGAATCGCTGTGCGGCAGGCAGGAGTTGGACCCAAAGTGCAGGACTCACAGACTCAGGGAGGTGAACTCAAAACTCAGCTTTATTTGCTGGCAGGGGAAAAAAAAAACCACACACAAACTAATCTAAACTGGGAACTTGGAAAACTCACAGAGAGACACACAGGGAGATCCACACAGCATGAGGGACGACGCGACACTGACTCAGAGAAACACAGGGTTTAAATACACTGGGAAGTAACGAGGGGAATGAGACACAGAAGGAGGGCACAGCTGGGAGAAATCAGGACTGACGAGACAAGCAAAGCAGGACGCATTCACATGAGACACGGACCATCAAAGTAAAACAGGAAGTATCACACAGAGACGCGAACTTGACACAGTGGAGACAGCAACTAAGAAATACAGAGACATAAACCATAAGGCAGAGGTCTAAGAACCAAAATACACAGGGAAATACTCAGCTGGGAACACAAGAGACTAGACTAGAGAGAGTAACAAAAAACCAACCATGAGAACATAATGCACAATGCAGAGTGACAGAAAACAAGAAACTCAAACATGCAAAGACACACACTTACACAGAACAGAGGGGACACAGAGAGACATGAAGGGCAAGGGATCAAAACTAGAAGCCATAGAATAAATCACACACAAGTACAATAATACAATAATCACAAAGAACTAAAAACGCTGGGTCAGGAGACCCAGGACCGTGACAGAAACATTTCTATCATCAGTGGTGTTGTTCCATCCACTGGACATGAAGGCTCAGTGAATACTTGGCATTTCTCATTTTTACGCTGTCTGATTTTAAGCCAGTGTACTAGATACCAAATAAAAGAAAATCCTTTGAAAGAATAGTACTCCATTCCTCCAACATAGTAACAGAGACCTTGGCAATCAGTGCTGAGGAGTACTGCAGATTTCCTGTTTTCCTTTCACTTGTTTCTTTATGTCAGATTTTAGAGTGGATAGTAAGGTCATAGTTAAGCTTTGAGCCAAGTAAAGAATAGACTCTAGTAGCAAAACACTGAACTGAAGGTCACTGCGAAGCTCTGAGGTAGCAACCTTTAAAAACATTACACACACAGAAGAAGGACATCTAATTATAGTGCTGTAAAAAAGCATTTGCCCCTTCTTGATTTATTTTACTTCAGATTGCCAAATAAATTTTAATATTTGACAAAGATAACCCAAAAGGCAGTTTTAGAATGAAAATGTGATTTATTAAGGGAAAGAAAGTGACCCAAACACTTTGCTCCTAAACCCAGTACTTGGTTGTGATATCCTTGGCAGGAGGAATAGAGTCAAGCGTTTATGTGATCATTGTCAGTGACTTTTCATTAGTGAGTCTTTCAGTTTTGGCCCACTCTTCTTTGCAGAATTGTCTTAATTCAGATACACTGGAAGGTTTTTGAGCAGAAAAAACATATTTAAGGTCATGCCAGAGGATATCAATCAGATCCAGACTTTCCAGACTTGGAAATGACTTTGTCACATACAGTCAGGTAGGTTTTGATACATTTTTTCCCCACATAAATTTCCTTTACATCACAGGTGTCGAACTCCAGGCCTCGAGGGCCGGTGTCCTGCAGGTTTTAGATGTGTCCTTGATCCAACACAGCTGATTTAAATCGCTAAATTACCTCCTCAACATGTTTTGAAGTTCTCCAAAGGTCTAGTAATGACCTAATCATTTGAAGAAGAAGAAACACTGCCCCCAGCAGCTTACCCCTATTGCAGCATAGCTAAGGGATGGTGCAGGGTCACCTGATCCAGCACTAACTATGAGCTTTATCAAAAAGGAAGGTTTAAAATCTAATTCCAGACATGGAGAGAGTGTATGTCTCCCAAATCCAAACTGGGAGCCCGTTCCACAAGTAAGCCGGCAGTCTGAGAGCTAAGAGCTCCACTGGGACACTATGGTACTATGAGGTATTTAATATATGATGGAGCCTGATTATTCAAGACATTTTATGTGAGCAGAAGGATTCCAAATTCAATTCTGGATTTAACACAGAATCAGTGAACAGAAGCAAATGAGGGAGAAATGTGCTCTGTCTTTCTAGCCCAACCAGTACTCTCACTGGAGCAATATGGATCAACGGAGGGCTTTTTAAGGAGCCAACCTGATGAAAATGAATTACAATAGTCGAGCCTAGAAGTAATAAATGCATGAACTAATGTTTCAGCATTACTCTAAGGATGTTCCTAGTTTTAGAGCTTTTGCAGATATGCAAGACGGCAGTCCTGCATATTTGTTGAATGTGCACACTGAAGAAAATATCCTGGTCCTGATTCCTCACAGAGGCCACGGTAATATAATCTAAAATAACTATCTGATCAGACACCATGTTTTTAAAATTTTTAGGGCAAAACACAATAACCTCAGTTTTGTCTTTATTCAGAAGTAGCAACTTAGAGGTCATCTAATATAAAAATATTAATTAAAATATAATTTAAAACAGTATTTTCTATTCACCTGGGTTATGTTTGGTTCCTATGTTTTTTAACTGAATATAACTGAATACATAAACCTACATGAAAAAAGTTTTTTCATACCTTGATTACATTTTTTCTGCACTATTTGCTAAAAACAAGTGAAACACAGACATTTTTAAAAGTCTCAAAAAACTGTTGAGTCTTTACACCAAACCCATTTTAAGTTAAGTATGTGGAAAATAAGAATGCATTTTCTTTGAGGACTTTAAAGCCAACTTACACAAATACATCCACTACCATCTGTTAAAGGGCTAAATCACTGGTTACTTTGGAATATACATACATGATTGCCAGTTAACAATATAATGTTAAATCTCACGTATCACCACAAATCATTTTAATAACAGGGAAGAAGCATAAAGTATGTGCCACCTATCAATGTGAACAGTAATATGGATACAGACGTACTAGGAGCTGTGCAGTACATTACTGTATTACAGACTGTGTTACTTTATAATGTGCCCACACTGTGACTGTGTCTGTGAAAGTTCTCAGTCATCCAGGTCATCGTAGTCTAAGGAGCTTGGAAAGAAACACGTCTGGACAGCAACTTAAAGAAGTTCAGGTGCTTTTCTTTGTATAGTTTGCATACATAGACGTTTTTATGTATAGTTTGCAATTCATATGTCCATGCTTCATTAAAAAAAATCCTTCTCACTTACATGTTTTAAAAGCATAGATCTTAAGATTTTTCACTCCTAAGATTTTTGCACAGCAAACTTGTAACTTTGCAAACTTTTTTCTGCCTTGGTTTGCAATTGACCATTCCTGTGAA